TTTGAACAGTAGTGTATATACACTGATTTCTACTGCTAGATAGATGCTATGAGGTTTGAGTGGTTGTTAAGGCATTGCTAAGTGTTGCTCATTTCCTCTTACTTCCTAATCTGTACAGGTTTTTCATTTTAGACCGTATTAGGTTACAACTTGAGTTCCTGAAAGAAGTTGAGAAGCAGTGTCACAAAGGATTTTATCTGTAATGATGACTAGTGTTGTCACGGTACCAAAATTTCAGTATTCGGTACCAATACCAGTTAAAATTCACGGTTCTCGGTACCAATTTCGGTACCAAAGCTTAGTTTAAATTTACATATATTTAAGTGTTTATCACGGTTACAAGTATGGAAACTGTACATTTGTATTATAAACACTTAACAATAAACAAAAAGATTAGATAAAATGACCTAAAATAAACAATAGTATACACTAACACATTTTTAAAGTTGTTTGTAAAGTTTTAATCCATTATTTATTTAATGCACAATGAATTAAGTGAACAAACATGAACAATCAGGTGTTTGTAATAAATAACATTTTCAAACATTAATTAATGTTGTAAACATATATTGTTCACTCAATGTGTTGATAACTAAGTAATGTTGATGAATGGTATCTTTGTAGCATTACCATAAAACATGTTTTATTTGACTTGACTGTCCTTTTATTTAATCTAAAACTGCATTCATATTTGATTTTAAAAAGGCTTTTTAAACCTGCTGAGTTATAAAGGCAAGAATACGCCTAGAACTGGCATTGACATTAAATGATAATACTAATACCAGTAGCCTACTCTGGTGTCGGATGGATACTACTGTGCTCATGTACTCGTAAAACTACCCCGAAAGCACTTTAGAGGCCGTTCACATGTCGCGCGTGTTTTTTATTATATTTTTTGCGCGTGCTTATTCTTTCCAAAGCGCTTGCTCTCACGCGGCGTCTGTCGTTGCTATGCAACGGCAACGAGTTTTTATTATGAGCGCGCTTGAATCGCACCTATATTTGAAATTGCGAATTTGCATGTAATCGGCCTCTTATGGCAACGTGACATTAGCCTAATCCAAAATATTTCCATATGTGGCTCTTTCCTCCTTTCGTTTCAACAAGTGGATTCAGAGAGAGAGAGCCATATCAGCGTTATAAAGAGGACGCAACTGTGCACGTTTCAGACATCGCGTCTAGAACAGAACTGGATTAACCTGGTACTCGGTACCTAGAAAAGCTGGTACCGTAACATTTTTTTTTTTTTAGTACCGACTTGGTACCGAAGTACCGAGTTTTTTGACAACACTAATGATGACACAAAATGCAAAGATGATGTTCCTTTCCTTGTCGTGCACCAGAAGAAGCGTGAAAACACAAAAAGACATGATGTTCCAGTGTCCCCATTGTGCTTGAGGGTGTCCTCCCTGATCCTTACGGATACCTTGTTCTTGTGGGAAAGTGGATATCTCAGGAGTTATGGCTATTAATATACTATTAGGGACTAGCAGGGCCATCGCTAGAGGGGAGAACTGTGGTGACGGTTCTCGGGGAGATTTGAACCGAGGAGAGCACATAGCAACAACTGTGAGCCCTCCTGGCCATTAGTAATCTGGGAGTGGAACTCCCATCAAGTCATCAAACTGATTTGGAAATCAAATCTCAATTCAGCAACGAATTGAGTCTTCACAAACAGATCTAAACCTTGGGATATTCCAATGCTCTCTGTCCAACTAAAAGCCAGGCTTTCTGGAGTCTAGTGGATGGCAAGGAGACTTTCTGCAAGTCTGCAACTAATCCTTTAAAAAAGCTCATCCACCAGGGATAAACCAAAAGAAAAAAACCCCTCCCTCCCCGCCAATCCCTTACTCCCAACTCAAGTTGTGTTATGTAATTCAACAAGTATCTGGTGAACACAACTCTTTCAGATCACTTTCACTCTGATTGACCAAAGCCTTAAAAACAATTAACCTTAAGTGCAACTTTTCAGTAATGGCTTGTCTTAATTGCAGGGATAATGTCATGACTCAACCAGGTATATTTAATGAAGCTTAAACCACTAATCCTCCTGAACAAAAATATGTGGTTGCATGTGACGTTCCGGACTGAAACATAATCGCTTATGTAACTGTAAGACAGTTGTTTGACGAACAAACGGCCGCTCTATAATCTTTCTGTGCATATCAAACAACCTTGGTTTCAGATTCAAAAGACTGAATATACTGTATATATACTGAATATACAACACTATCATCATTTACTTACTCTCGTGTGGCTCCAAACCCATATAACTTTCGTTCATCCTCAAAACACAAAAGATATATATATTTTTTAATTAAACCTGGAAGATGAGCACATCAAATGTGGTTTGGAAACTGTGGCGTAACAAGCAAGAACAAAACTCATTGGTTCTCATCAATTAAAACTCATAAATGATGTGCTCTATGTATGCTGATCACTGTTTAAGTCTTAAATAAATCTGCTCGTCACATTAAGCGACTGTGTCTCAGAAGACTTACACTAAAAAGTGCTGGGTTGTTTTAACCCAATTTGGGGTCAAATATGGACAAACCCAGCCATTGGGTTACATTTTTAAATCACATTTTTAACCCAATGTTTGAGTTTGTCCATATTTGACCCAAAATTGGGTACTTTTCTTAGTGTACATTAAACCCCTCGATTATTTGAAAAACAGGTTTTGTGAATGGCATTGAAGTGACCAACTGACGCTGGTTGGTCATGTGACAATAACATTTAATTCATACTATCCATATAGAACGCACTTTGAGTGGTACCTACTCAGACATTATGTGATTTCAAATGCACTGTCTGTGGAGAAACCTCTCAGGTTTCATTAAATACGTACATCTTCATTTGTGTTTCTAAAGATTAATGGAAGTTTTTTGGGTTTGGAACTATATGAGGGTGAATAATTGATGACAGAAGTTTGTTTGAGCAACCTAACATGGCTCAACCAATGGTGTGAGTTCAATCTGTTTGTCCATCAATTCTGGTCCCTTCAAAAGGCTGTCAATGTGAACACCCCTATTAGACTGAAGATTATTCTTGCAATACACCGTCAGGAATGCGGTGATGCAGAAAACCCCCAGAGGTACATAACCCAAAGGACCTGCTTCCCTGGTACTACTCATAGGTAAAATGAGGATTGCATCAGTCAAAGTGGCTTGTTTTCCCCAAAGCATCAGTGTTTAATTCAAGTCAACAGGTCAGCGAGGCTTTCAGCACGAGTAACAAACAGGTGGTATTTCGATAAGGGCTTTGACGCCTACCGGGAATTCATCATTTTATTTTTAATTCTCCCTAGCTGAGACACTATTTACTAATGAAGCAACTGGTTGCATGTTTGCAACTGAAAAAAAAAGTGCTCAGCTAAAATTCAAGTCCAATTATGTGTGGATCCAGCTCTTAATTAAGCTCCAAAACAGAAGACTGCTCCGTTTGCAATCTGTCGTGTAGCGCTCGACTCGGTTTGTCGGCAGAGCTGAAGAGACGCCACGGCCAAATGTTTGTGGAAGTTCTTTGTAATCCATCTGTTGCATTAGCAAAGCCTCAAATTTGATCCCTCTGAGATAATTTTCTTCCTCCAAGTTACTCTGCTAAAATCCCAGTGAGACATTCGAACCATTAAATGCTCCAGCAAATTAGTGTAATTGGATTATTTGTATTTCATGAGTCACATAACAAACACGTCAGGTTAGCATTTAATTTGCCTCTCTGTTGTGCAACTAATATGTGCATTGTGATTCAGGTAACAGACGAGAATGAGAGAACGGGAAGAGGGTCGTGATTTATTGAGGCACACTGATGAATCACAGAACAACAGCTCTGCGCTAATCTATCATCATAAAACACGGGCTCATCAGACCGCGAACCTCTGCTTTAACGGTCACATCCGCAGATACAGCATCTACATGCATTTCAATCCTCATGAAAGGTGATCGGCCGGTACATTTAATCGACCTGTGACAGATTGTTGCATATGAGTGATTGATATTGATTGCTGTGGTCGACAGACAAGCATCCAATTATACTAAGACAAAGATGCACTTCAGATCATCTTTGGCGCGTTAACGTTCAACAGATTGCTCGCTATTAGACATTAATCTGCTTTTTGATGTCCCAATGTGTCCCGTTTAAAGGCATAGTTCAGCCAAAAAATGTTGTAATGTATATTTTGAAGCATGTCAGTGCCATACAGTGAAAATCAATACGAACCAATGTTATTTTGGACCCCATTGACTTTCAATGCAAAACATCAGTTTGTATGCAAAAAGTCAGTTTGTAAAGACACGTGGTTGTATTTTATATTGGGGAAATCAATTCTTTTAAGATTTGAATATAGCTCTGTCCCAAAACCAAGTGAGCTCCTTATATAGGGTGCATCAGAACTGAAATGACTGGTTTTTGCTGAACAAAACACTCATTTAGGAAATGATTTCACTCTTGGTCTTGCATGCAGGTCAAAGGTTAACATCTGTCAGCAACAGAGCAGTGCATGCTATGCCAGAGCCATTCAGGATTAGATCCCTACCCCATCATTGCAGCTATAAAGTGTTTCCATCAGCACACACGACTGTATGGATTAACCCCATCTAAGATGGAGCATAACAATGATAAAATGACCACATGAGACCACAGGGCTCTATCTAATCTAGTCTACAGGCTGCCATGATTGAAAACCAGACAGCAAACGGAGAGGTCCATAATAGGATTTACATCTGGGACAGGCAAGAGCTCTGCAGATATAGATATACAACAGGAAGTGATGACTCGCACCTGATGCCCACAAGAACCGCTTTAAAGATGTTTCGGTCAAAGGAACGAACACAGTGACATACATTCACCTTCTAAACATTGTCTGAACCCAAAGAATCACAAGTCCTAAATGAACCCCTGCCATTTCCCAGCATTGAATCAGAGCTGCCAAAGTGGACGACAACAAACAGGCAACAGTTGTCATTCTAGAGTGGCACAGAGGAAAAGAAGGATCTACTCACTGGAGTCGTCCGAATCGTAGCCTTCCACGTCGGGCTCTTCCTCCTTCTTGCTGGCCACGAGTGCGGTGGCGCCGAAGGCTTGGTCCAGGTCTTCTTCATCCCTGTTGGGGTCAGGGGCCGGGCCCTCTGTCTTCTGGCTGGTGGAGCTGCTCCGCAGGGAGCCGGCGCGGCTGAGGGCCGGAGGAGCTGTGGGGGGGAGACCCCGTGGGTAACGGGGGAAATAGTCAGATATCTGCTTGATGGGCTGAATGGGACCTGGACATACATCAATGGCCATGTGCTCCTGGATGCTGATGGTCGTCTTCTCGCCTTTGCGTTGTGTCATTCATGCAGCCCTTTTGAGGATGTGCCACCACCCCTGAACCCGGCTAAGGGGTGGCGGGTGGTAGCGGTAAAAAAAAAAAAAAAAAAAAAAAAGAAAGAAAAAGATAAAAAATGAAAAAACCTTTAAAAGTAGAATCTTCTTTTCTCTGGTAATCTGTTAGTGTCCCTGAAGCGTGACTTGTTGCATGTCTTGGTGTGTAAGTGCATGTGTGTGAGTTTGCGATGGCAGCGGTGGGCTACATGTGAGGCTCCTGCACACTGTGGTCATGCCGTCTGCCTGTGAGCTGCGCTCAGACCACTACAGCACGCTAAGACTGTTACCGGGATGAATGCATGTGTGTGTGTGTGAGAGAGAGAGAGAGAGAGAGAGAGAGAGAGAGAGAGAGAAGGAGGGGGCAGGATTATACAGAGGGATGGAGGGATTGGCTGATGTCATTGCTAAGCAACATGACGGTAAACAGGAACCGGGCGCACGGCTACTTAATTATGCTATTAGTCCATCTGTTAGAGGGAGAAAGAGAGAGAGAGGCTGGGTTATCTCTCTTCTTTCTCTTCCTCATCTCCCTTCAGTCTAGCATCTGACTGAACTGCCAACGCATGTGTTGAACTCCAGCACAATTACCAGCAACAGGTGCTAAATGCCTAAAGTCAGACGTGCCAGGTTATGCATCAGTCAGGCTATTCAAAAAATACAATGGGGTAAAAGAAAAAGGTAGATAAGAAGAGATGCAATAATTCTATTGGATTTTGATCCAGTATTCGAATGCTGTGACGACAGTGTAATGCATGTATGCATGAATTGGAACAGTTGAATGAAAAATACCCAAAATTGTCTTCTTTACTCTCCCTCATGTCATGACTTCTGCAGAACATAAAAGATATTTTGAAGAAATGTATGTATAGTGAAGTCTAATTTATTCCTGTGATGAAAGCTGAATTTTCAACATCATTACTGTTGCTGATTACACATCAGTTTTCAGTGTCACATGATCCTTCAGAAATCACTCTAATATGCTGATTTTATGCTCAAAAAACATAAATTATTATTTTCAATGTTGAAAACAGTCGTGTAGCATTTTTCCCCAAAAATTCTATGATGAATAGAAAGTTCAAAAGAACAGCATTTATTTAAAATATAATCTTTTCTAACATTATAAATGTCTTTACTGTAATTTGTGATCAATTTAACTCATCCTTGATGAATGAAAGTATTTTCTAATTTCTTTCCCTCAAAAATAAAACAATAAATTCTTACTGACCCCAAACTTTTGAATGGTTGTGATTAATGTTACAAAAGCTTTCCATTTCAGATCAATTTTGTTCTCTTTCTATTCATCAATGAATCTGAAATAAAAATGTAAAAAACTGTTTTCAACATGGATAATAATCATAAATGTTTCTTGAGCATCATATTATAATAATTTCTGTAGGATCATGTGACACTGAAGACTGGAGTAATGATGCTGTAAATTCAGCTTTGATCACAGGAATAAATTACACTTCACTATATATTCACATAGAAAACCGCTGTTTTAAATTTTAATAATATTTCACAATATTAATGTTTTTTTGTATTTTTTATCAAATAATTGCAGCCTTGGTGAGCAGAAGAGACTTCTTTTAAAAACATAAAAAAAACTTTTGACCGGTAGTATATATATATATATACAAATGTAATTTTTTTTTTCACAAAAAGATTTATCACATTTTTTCTTTTGTCAAGTCAACTTAAATTATTTAGTTCAGATAACTTATTCTGAGTTTCTGATGATTAAATCAATCTCCTTCATTGTATTAACTCACTTTTTCCACTTCAATCAACTTAAAATTTTAAGGCATCTTATTTTTGTTTAAGTTAGACCAACAATATTTTATTACAGTGTAGAAAAAAGGAAGAACTGTTTTTATACATACAATGACTGTCAATGGATCATACTGGACACCACTAATTTTCAAAGAATCAATTGATAATTGAATTCAATTATCATTATTTTATAATTATGTTTGTGTTCCACAGAAGAAAGTCTGACACAGGTTTAGAGTGACATTAGGGTGAGTAAATGACAGTGTTATTTTAGCATCATTGAGAGACTATCAGTTTTGGATCAGTTTTTATTGAAATATTTTCATTTTAGTTCAATTTAAAGTAATTTTGCAGTGTTTTTATAAATGATGTCCTTGTATGTTTTATGTATACATTTTAATTTCAGTTTTAGTTACTTTAGCATTTTTTTGTAATCAAGTTAATTTTAGTAAACTGATTTAAAAATCTTAGGCAAGTAGCTGAAATAAAACAACTTATTTCAGCTAACATTTATTTAATTTTTTATTTCAGTTTATGAAAACCCTGGCAGAATTTATTTTCCATGCATAATTTGTATCATGTTGCTAACTGGCTTGAATCTTGTTATCTAAAACGATGGCTCTCAGGCATTTTTAAAAGTGGCTTGTGTGTCTTTGGGGTCACTGTATTCATGACGCTTATCTACATGAACTTCTCTTAAACTGATTTCTGTGTCATGACAAATAACGATGCTCGAGACATTTACTGGGAAAATTGCATCAGCGCTCTGTTGCTTTATGAAAACTAGCAGGGGGCTATTCAACCTGTCCCCCGCTTTACAGCTCTGATGAATTACAGGCAAAAGCCATTCTCGTTTTTTACAATAGCAAAGATTTATAGCAAAAACAGTGAGTAATCTTGATGTACTCTCTTAAAGGACCCCGATATGACAACGCGGCGATCTCAACTGATGGTGTCGCTTTGAACAAGGGAACAGGAAGAAATTAATGAATGATGGCGAGGGATATATGGTATGATGTTATTCAATCATGATTTTAAATGGTTGCTCAAAATTTTCATTCAAATGTTTGCCATTTCCCACATGGTATCATTAGGAGACAAAACCTGGCAATTCATTTACTCTTCTAATTAAGGAGTCGCCCTCATGCTCAGTGTAAATCTTCAGCGGGAAACACTTAGTGAGAGCGAAGCTCATTATTTTCTGTCTATTTCCGTAATTCCTTCTGGAGAGCCTTTGTTTTGTGCTTCCGGAAGAGTCATGGTTAAAAAAAAAATGAAGAGGAAAAAGGCAGAAAAAAAGTTTGATGATTCTAATGTCTGGCACAGAAATGTAGCCGTGAACCAAGTGAAGGCTAGAAAAATAGTACACACTAAATGTAGGCAAGGAGTCAAGGCTTCTGTAATCCTAGTTATTTTCCTGTGGAACAATGTACCCAAATAGGGTGCTATTGAACAAGCATTTTATGATGTAAATCTGATGATATAAAGTCAGCCAGTAAATTGTGTTTAACTTATTTTAATGAAGTAAAATGTGATTTGTTTCCATGGTCATATATTACAGTAAAAAATCTAATTTGTGCTGACAGAATTCTCTGCCGCTACTGAAATTTATTTTGCACTTTCCAGAAAATATAATTCAAACACAGACTGTGCAGGAGAGACACAGCATTAAGTGTTGCAATTATGCTTTTTCGAATATTACTTTTCATTTGGTGTGTAATAGATGGGAAAGTATGCAAAGTTTCTTTGCATACTTTATTTATTGTTATTGTCCCTCCCCCATCCCATTCTAAACTGCCTGAGATGAGTCAATAGTAAGTCTTACTTCAAGCACCAACTCAAGTGGGTTTGCAACTCATTTGCATAATGTGAGAGCCTATAGGCTATAGGCTGTGAGTAATGGTCTTCATTGGCTGTCTAATAAACAATGTCTACTTTGACCCTGAAAGGGTCAAAGATGAGGCCAAGATGAGGTTTTTGTTGGTTTAGTTTATGTTGTCAACATTTCCTTCACTGTGAAAGCAAATCCACTTTGCATGCACTTCTAAAGGATACGGATTGGGGTGTGACGGTTCAAAAAACTGACGTTCCTCGGTTTTGATGTCACGGTTCGGTTCGATCCAGCAGGGAGAGGGGAGAAAACTAAACATAAAACTGCTATTTTTATTAAACAGTGGTTTACTGAACAAATTGTGTCTCTGTCTTTAAATGAATTCAGCTATAATTAAACGTTTCTTAAAGGGATACTCCACCCAAAAATGAAACGTATGTCATCATTTACTCGGCCTCAAGTTGTTGCAAACCTGCGTGAGTTTCTTTCTTCTGCTGAACACAAAGGACGATATTTTGAAGAATGATTGGAACCAAACAGTTGTTTGGCATCATTGACTTCCATAGTGGAAAAAAAAAAATACTATGGAAGTCAATGGTGCCAAAGTTCCAATCATTCCTCATAATATCTTTCTTTGTGTTCAGCAGAAGAAAGAAACTCACGCAGGTTTGCAACAACTTGAGGCCGAGTAAATGATGAGAGAATTTTTATTTTTGGGGGGAGTATCCCTTTAAGGATCATTTTTTAACCTCTGCTATGCTGTAAACTATATAGGGAGCACTTACTTGCACATTACTATAATATTAACAGTTAACAACAGACCAACTTATTATCCTAAGATATAATACTCAACACTCAAATAATAAATTGTATGCAAACATGTAGACTGCACGTGAACCAGTTTTTGCATTAACTTCTAAATCTAATATGTTTTCACTCCAAATCGTTGTTAAAATATAATCATTCACACAAATGTGTATTATTTTCATGACAGATATTTTAAAAATAAATCAAGACATCACTAACAGGTTAAAGGGTTAGTTCACCCAAAAATGAAAATTCTGTCAGTATTTACTCACCCTCATGTTGTTCCAACCCGGTAAGACCTTCGTTCATCTTCGAAACACAAATTAAGATATTTAAGATATTAAGATCGCTCCTGCATACAGTCCATAGGCTTCTTGAGGGACTGGCTCTTGCTGTCCTCGAAAAGTCATTAAAGACATC